TACAACTTTCATGTTGGATACAAGGAAATTTGAAATTACACAAACTTAATTTTGGCTGGCATTTGTGGCTCATATTTCTATTTGGACAATGCTGTTCTAAGCAGAGGTCAGCAAACTTTTTCTGTAAAGGGTCAGATGCTATTTTAGGCTTTGGGGCCACACAGGGTGTTACATATTCTTATTTTTGTTGTTGTTGTTGTTGTTGTCTTTGTACAATCTCTTAAAGATAAAAACCATCCTTAGTTCATAGGCAGTGCACAAACAGGCTGCAGGCCAGATTTGGCCCATGGGCTCTAGTTTGCCAGGCCCTAACTTCAGCAAACCAGCTAATGTGAGGCTTTTACTTTAACTGAGGAATGAACATAAAGCTTTAAAATTACTAGCATTTGGGCAGTCAGTATCTAGCTTTCCTATATAGAAAATAGTAATTTTTTATTTTCTTAAACATTATAAATTGTTCTTCAAAATTGAATGATGTGGAACTTTTTCTCTTTTAGTCATCTGTGTATTTTAAGCATTCTTATGAAGACTGGCTGGAAAACAATGGCTTGAGCATCTCCCCTTTTCACATAAGATGGCAAACTGCTGTTTTCAATCGTGCCTTTTATAGTTGGGGACGGCGGAAAGCAAGGATGCTTTACCAATGGTATGCTTCATTTTCTTTTTTTAGTTTAAATTAGTCATTGTGATCATGAGAAATGCTTGTTAATGGAACTGTTTCCATCGTGTTCCAAACTCCTGAGTTTTAAAATGTTGACAGTATAGAAATTTTCTGGTTTTATATAAACTTATGGGATTGCATCATTGTGCTTTTGCATACATTATAAATCAAGATTCTATATTTTTCTTTTTTTTAATCCTCACCCACAGATATGGTTTTATTGATTTTAGAGGGAGAGGAAGGGAAAGATTTAGAGTGAAAGAAAGAAAAACATCGATGTGAGAGAAAAATATCTATCGATTGTCTCCTGTATATGCCCCGACCGGGGATTAAACCTGCAACCTATGTATGTGCCCCAACTGGGAATCGAACCCACAACCTTTTGGTGCATGGGACACCGCTCCATGGAAGTGGGCTACCCAGCCAGGGAAAGGTTCTATATCTTCATCTGGATGGTAGATACATGGATGCACATATGTAAAAATTCAGTGAGCTGTACAATTTAGACTTGTTCACTTTATTCTGTACATTGTACACTAATATAAAAGCCAAAAACATATGGAGCCTTTTTCATTAGGAAAATAATCCTGAAGAATACTCTCCCCCATCATCACACATAGGAACGTGGGTCCTATTCCTGTCTTTTGTTTTCCCTTATACTTTTTGTGTGATATTTCTCCAGGAGAAGGATTTTAACCCCTTCCCCGGCAGAAACGTGTATACTCGTTTTCACAAAATGTTCTTTTTCAGTCGTCGACGAGTATACTAAGAAAATATGGTAAAAAACTATGGTTTATAGGAAGACGAGTTACAAACTGTTTTCATAACCAGCATCAAAAATACTATATAGAACCAAAATAAAAAAATTAGTCTGAAAAAGAAACGTTTTTAACAAAAAAATTGTTGGGGAAGGGGTTAAAACTATTTAACAACCAGTAAGGCATATGGACAAACCACGTGCAAAAATGGCTAGCCAGATTGCAGTGTTGGGGGTCCTGGAGCCCCCCTTACAATGCCAAGCATACTCCTTTAGTTTAAAAAAACATTTAAAAATCATGGAATTTATAGCATTTATGGTTAAAAGGTTTACGATAATCTCTGGGATACCCTAGAGACAGACAGGTTTTGTAATTGAGAGAATTTCTAATATGGGAGTTAGGGACCTTTGTCTAAATTGCTTTTTGTTAAAAATTTAGCTCCAAATGGAGTAGTGCTAAATGTAAATAGATCATCAAAAAGCAGTAAATGCACCAGCACATCAAAGCAAAGAAAATAAAAAGCAGGAAATAAAAAAGAGCAGAAATCAGTGAAATAAAAAGTGTATAGAAGATAAAATCAGTAAAACCAAAAGTTGGCTTTTTGAAAAGATTAATAAAATTGATAAACCCCCTACCATGACTGATCAAGAAAAAAAGATCACACATGTAACTAAATCAGAATTGAAAATTGGAACATTAGTACAGATCCTATAGACATTTTTAAAAAATGAAACTATTTTGAACAATTCTATGCCTATAAATTTAACCATTTAGATGAAATGGACAAGTTCCTTGAAAAACACAACTTACCAAAAAGTTAGAAAATGTAATAGATATAAGGGTAACTTCTAATTATTAAAACAATTGAAAAAAAACTATCATTAAATTTTACCATGTTAGTATTTAAGCTCATCACAAAATATAGCTAAAATAAGGTGCAAATAACAGAATCAGTAAATAAAAAAGAATGGATGTCTATATAATGCCAAAAGAACTTTCATAACTATATGAGAACAAGAGCAAAACAATGCTATGTAAATGAGCAAAAGAAAGGAAACAAAACTTGTTATTGGGCCCTAGCCGGTTTGGCTCAGTGGATAAAGCATCAACCTGCGAACTGAAGGACAATTCTGGTCAAGGGCACATGCCCAGGTTGCACGCTCTATCCCCAGTGGGGAGCGTGCCAGGAGGCAGCTACTCAATGACTCTCTCTCATCATGGATGTTCCTATCTCTCTCTCTCCCTCTTCCTTCCTCTCTGAAATTAATTTAAAAAAATATATATATATCTTTTTATTGGAAAGAATATTCAGCCGCTTCAGTTATGAGAGAAATGTAAGTTATTAGAACAGCTTAAATAGACTAGAGCCTGTGCTTCAATTACAGATTTGGAGTTCAGATAAGAAAAAAAGAAATAGGGGTATTAAAATTTTTTTACACATTTTGAAGCTATGAAATGTGCCTGGTCAATAAATTTTTTAGCCCATGAATTATGAGGAATTGTACACTTATGCAATTTTTTCCTCTTAACAGGTTCAATTTTGGAATGGTGTTTGGCGTAATTGCCATGTTTAGCTCTTTTTTTCTCCTGGGGAAAACGTTGATGCAGACTTTAGCACAAATGATGGCTGACTCCTCCACTTCTTATTCTTCCTCCTCTTCTTCCTCTTCCTCCTCCTCCTCCTCCTCTTCTTCCTCTTCGTCCTCTTCTTCCTCTTCGTCCTCTTCCTCCTCCTCCTCACTTCACAATGAACAAGTGCTACAAGTTGTGGTAAGTGCCTTCTTTTTGCTTTAAGTAACTTTTGAAAAATAGATATAAGATATTTCTTTTGGATAGCATAACTCCTATCTGTAATATAAATATGAAAATAAAAGTCGCATGATTTCTCAAATTATCTCCCTAAACAAAAATATTAGTAAGATTATAGCAAAGAATTGCTGCAATATGTAGAAGCAGCAGTGATAGTGTTAACAGAACAAATGGGCCATCATTAAGACTGTCAACATTACACGTTGATTTAATATGTGTTGTCTTGAGATGTTAAGTGATTGTTACTATAAAAGAATAAGCATGGTGATTTAAGATCTCTATAATAATTCTCATTTTAAAGCACTTGTGTAAACCTATATACCTTATTAATTCCTGTCTCTAGAGTTTGGAAAGGTGATTTTCCATTGGCTAACTTTTATTTCAAAATTTTTAATTATAGTTTTCATTTCCATGAATTGTGAATGTTATGTTTTTAATCATATTCTTATTAATGGAACTAGAGGCCCGGTGCACGAAATTTGTGCACAGGGGATGGGGTCTCCTCAGCCCAGCCTGCACTCTCTCTAATCCAGGACCCCTTGGGGAATGGCAGTCGGACATCCCTCTCACAATCCTGGACCACTGCCTCCTAATTGCTTACCTGCCTGCCTGCCTTGTCGCCCCTAACTGCCCCCCCTGCCGACCTGGTCACCCCATCCAGCCTGCTACTCAGTCGTTTGGTCATCTGTTCGGTTGCGACAGTCACTTAGGATTTGATAGATAGATAGATAGATAGATAGATAGATAGATAGATAGATAGATAGATAGACAGATAGACAGACAGACTGATTGACTCTATAAGAGTTGTTAAGATTTTTTTAAAACTCATCTCTTTGTGGCTTCTATAGGCTAAGTCACTATGGGAAAATTTAGAAGTCATTTATAGTGAATGATAAAGAATCTCTCCTATGCCCTAGCCAGTTTGGCTCAGTGGACAGTGCATTGACCTGTGGACTAGAGGATCTCGGGTTCAATTCCTGTCAAGGGCACATGCCCGGGTTGCAGGCTTGATCCCCAGTGGGGGGCGTGCAGGAGGCAGTCGATCAGTGATTCTCTCTCATCATTGATGTTTCTGTCTCTCTCTCCCTCTTCCTCTTCCTCTCTGAAATCAATAAAAATATATTTTAAAAAAAAGAATCTCTCCTATGGTAATAGCTCTTTCTTAGAGGTTAAAAGAGTTAATTTCCCAGATGAGGCCTTGAATGAGATGACTTGTTTCTTCAGCAAACATTTAATGCATGTATTCTGCCTGTTGAGCCTATGTTGAGTCCTGCTTATACAGGGAACAAAATCCAATCCTAGCAATCATGGAGGTTTTAGTTTAGAGGGAGAGCTGCTATGGTTGTGCTACAGTTGGACAGAGCATAAGGTGCTATGGGGACAGAAAGTGTGCTGAGATGGGCCTGCCACTGGGGAGAGAATAGAGAAGAGTTAAGAGAATCCACATAGCCTGGGAAAGGAAAATGGCAATTGAGCATCCCAGTAACAGAGGAAACTGTATAACATGGAAAGGTGAAGGAAATAATAGTAATAATAAAACCTAGTTAATATACAGTGCTTCCTGTGTGAGGTTTTTGTGCCCATTTTATTTTATTCTTGTAACAATCTGGAGATAAGTTTCACAGATGAGAAAACCAAGGCACAGAGTTGTTAAGTAACTTGCCTATGGTCACAGCTAGGAAATGGCGAGGGGGTCCATCACTCATCCACCACTGACCTCAGAGCCATCAGGCTCTACTCCCTTAAGAAAGACCAATAACTCTTCAAGTAATTATAAAGTAACTTTGACCTATGTCTAGGAGGTATATGGAGGAAGGTGTATGGTACAGGAGATAAGATGGGAGATACAGGTAGGATCTGGGTTAGGAAGGGCCATTCTAAGAAGTTTTGATTTTACCTATAGATAACAGGTCTATGCAAAATGAACCAAAGTAGGTAAGATGGGGAAACCATTTAAGAGGACAGTTGGAATAATTCATGTTAGAAGTGATAAAGATCTAAACTAAATTAGTGGTAAGTAGAATGAAGGGAGTAGATTCAAGGTATCTTCTGGAGTGGAGTTCTCAGGCCTTGGCCATTAATTGAATGTGAGGCTGAAGAAGGAAGAGTTTAGGATAACTCTCGGGCTGTTCAATTAGTTACTGTTTGCCAAGAAGAGAATAGTAGAGAAAGAAGCAGATTTGGAGAAAATATGACCATTGTCCTTTCTGCCTGCTCGGAGTAGAATGGCAAAATGTTGTGAAAAGAATAAATAATTTCTTCTTTTTGCTTCTCATTTTATTCATAGAGCTCAGACATGCTTTGGAACAAGCAAGAAGTCAACTGCCCTCTATAGTCCACCGTGCATATTTATGTATACGTTTAAGAATGTTACCATCTCCTGCCTTTGATATGAGCTCTGGTAGCTTAGAGAACATACTTTCTGTTTACCTTACAATTCCGTACAGTCTAGTTCAGTATTAATTCCCCCAAACCTGGCACTCTGTTGTTGAGAGATCAGTATTCTGGTACATCTAATACCCTGTTTGATCACGGCCAAGACAGATGGGCAGTTGCGTACTCTTGCTTAGCAAATAAGACCTACCATCTGTTGGTATAATCGCATGCTCAGATCCTTATCTTATTTCATCATTACATCTATAAAATAATAAAGAGAAAGAACTAATGTCCTATTGCAGCAATTTTCAACCTTTTTCATCTCATGGCACACATCAATGATTACTAAAATTCTGTGGCACACCAAAAAATATATATTTTTGTCAATTTGGCAAAAAATGTAAGTATAATTTTGATCGATTTACCAAAATAATAATAACAATTACCTACCCTTTTGCTCCAAAGTAACTTTTTTAAAAATCAGGTGCCTATACTTGTATATAAGTATTTCTGATGCCAAAAATTAACCAGTCAGACTCAACATTGTTATGTGACATGACCAATAAGATGTAACTTGATTATATGACCTATATAAATAAAGGGTGTCCCAAAATTCACACAAGAGGTAATTTTGATAGAAAACACAGGTTTATAATTAAAAATTGTAAATTTTTTATTGATTCATAAAGTATACAATATAGGGTTATATATGGAATAGCATATCGGGTAAATGGCCTCCACGGCTTTGCTGGCACATACGCACTCTTTTGTTGAATTTCCATGACCGAAATGCTGCTGCTCAGGCAATAATAGTTAATGGTGCTCGCTATCGCGACATGATAATCTAGTTTTTTGTGCCTTGGAGGCCATTTAGACACTTGGAATTACTAATGAATTTAGAAAGCTGTCCTTGCAGCATGGTTTGAATCTCCTCCTCAGTTACTAAAGGGGACTTAAAAGTGAAATTCTGCCCTAACCGGTTTGGCTCACTGGATAGAGCGTCGGCCTGCGGACTGAAAGGTCCCAGGTTCGATTCCGGTCAAGGGCATGTACCTTGGTTGCAGGCACATCCCCAGTAGGAGGTGTGCAGGAGGCAGCTGATCGATGTTTGTCGCCCATCGATGTTTCTAACTTTCTATCCCTCTCCCTTCCTCTCTGTAAAAAATCAATAAAATATATATTTTTTTAAAAAAATTAAGAAAAGTGAAATTCCTCTGTTGTACACAAAAATAAATTAAAATTGAATGAATTAAAATTAAAATATGAAATCATAAAAGATCTTGAAAAAACCAGGTTTCTGTTTATATGAACACAGAATAAGGAAGACAAGCATAAAACTAATGGCAGAAAACAGGATTATTGATAGATTTGATTACATAACTTTTATATATCAAAAAAACTAAATAAAAGGCAAAGAAACTTGTAAATATATTTGTGATGTATTACAGAGGACTGATAATAATCGAAGTTATCTTACAGATCAATAAGAAAAATATGAATACTCTAAGAGAAAAAAATAGGCAAGTCATGAATAGGCTACCCTCAAAAGACATATCAGGTGTCAGAAGTAGGGGGAAAGTGCAGCTTTAATAATGATCAAAGAAATACACATCAAACAATGGGATGCTTTTTTTTTTAATCCTCACCGAGGATATTTTTCAATGAATTTTTTAGGGAGAGTGGAAGAGAGGGAAAGACAGAAACATCGATGTGAGAGAAACACATTGATTGGTTGCCTACTGCACGAACCCCGACCAGGGCCCAGGCTGGGGAGGAGCCTGCAACCGAGGTATGTGCCCTTGACTGGAATCGAACCTGGGACCCTTTGGTCTGCAGGCCAACACTCTATTTACTGAGCCAAACCAGCTAGGGTGGGATGCTTTTTATTAATCTCAAATTGCCAATTTGAATAAAATGAGCTTGCCCAAGTTATGGAAGTGTCCGCTGTTAGCAGTTTGATATGTATGAAAGTCCTTTAGATTTTGTGTTATAATAGCATTTGTTACCCTCTCTGTGAGGCATAATTTTAAACATTGGACAAGGATTATCTCATATAATCCTTAAAATTACTCTCTTATATAAATGTGGTTGTTTCCATTTTAATGACGAGGGAATTGAAGTGTTGGGGAAATAATCAAATTTCCTCCAGGTCACTTAGCTATTTAGTGATGGAGGCAGACTGTCTAACCGAAATAATATTTCTCTGGAACCTGAACCAACCATGCTTGTCTAATATTTTATCCCAAAAAATATTTGGATATATGTATCCAAGTATGTTTATTATAGTATTTATAAGAGCAAAAACCGGACTAATCCTAGCCGGTTTTGCATCAGCCTGCAGACTGAATGGTCTTGGGTTTGATTCTGGTCAAGGGCACGTATCTTGATTGCGGGTTCTCTGGCCCTCACCCCCTTGTAGACACAAGATGGCCAGCAGGGGTGGGCAGTTGTGGGCGATCAGGCCAGCAGGGGAGGGCATTTGGGAGGGACCAAGCCTGAAAGGGAGGGCAGTTAGAAGGACCAGGCTGGCAGGGGAGGGCAGTTGTGGGCAATCAGGCCTGCAGGGAGGGCATTTTGGGAGGGATCAGGCCAGCAGTGGAGGGCATTTGTGGGTGACCAGACCAGCAGGGGAGGGCAGTTGGGGGCGATCAGGGCAGTTGGGGGGGACCAGGCCGGCAGGCAGGTGAGTGGTTAGAATTCAGCGGTCCCAGATTGCAAGAAGGATGTCCGACTGCCGGTTTAGGCCTGAGGTGTCCCTGATTGGAGAGGATGCAGGCTGAGCTGAGGGACACTAGTCTATAATAATAAAAGCATAATATGCAAATAGAATAGCAAAATGACTGTCCAGACAACCATGCTATGACACACACTGGTGCCAGGCCAGCCAAGGTGGGTATGATTCGATTGGTCAGGGAACCCCGCCATCACCCCACGATTACCCCACAGAGGGAGGCTCAGGCCACCGGCCGGCGGGACAATTGCCCCAAAGAGGGAGGCCCAGGCCCCCAGCCAGCAAGGCAATCAATCAGGGGCCAGCAGGGCAATCAATCGGGGGGACTCTGCAATCGCCCCAAAGAGGGAGGCCCAGGTACCCTCTGCGGGGCAATTGATCAGGGGGCTCCACAATCAGTTGCCCCAAAGAGGGAAGCCCAGGTCACTGACCAGCGGGCTGCAGTGGGTGGGTGGGGCCTCTCTCTTCGGGGCAATCAATCATGGAGCCCCGGCCAGGTGAGCGGAGCCTCCCTCTGTGGGGCTATCAATTACGGAGCCCTGCAATTAATCACCCCAAAGAGGGAGGCCCAGGCTACCCAGCCAGCGGCACTGCAGCTAGGTGGGTGGGGCCTCCCTCTGCAGGGCAATCTATCACGGGGCTCCCAGACTGCAAGAGGTTGCAGGCTGGGCTGAGATGATTCGATTGGTCAGGGAACCCCGCCATCACCCCACGATTACCCCACAGAGGGAGGCTCAGGCCACCGGCCGGCGGGACAATTGCCCCAAAGAGGGAGGCCCAGGCCACCAGCCAGCAGGGCAATCAATCGGGGGGACTCTGCAATCGCCCCACAGAGGGAGGCCCAGGTACCCTCTGCGG